GTGCAAAGCGCGGCCCGCAGGACACAAAAAGGGGGGTACGCGGCAGAAAAATGGTGGTACCCCACTATCGTACTCTGCCGGGCCCCCTGGGGCTCTCCAAAAACGTCTTCTTCAAGCGGGGAGTTTCCTCAACACGAGCGTTCTTAAAGCGGGGTCGACTATAAAGCGAGTAGCTTGTTCGGATTTCGAACGCCTGTTGGACACCGTAGGGGAGTCTAACTGGGCCGTCCCACGCCCGTTATCGAACGCCGCGTGGGACGTCCCTAGCGTGGTGTCATGGGGCGTTCCACGAGTCCCACGTTCTAGAGTTGGTGTCCCATGGGACGTCCAACCTGTCCCACGGGACGTTCGACGTGTCTCACATGTCCATATGAGCCCGTCCCATGAGACAGGTGGGACGTCCCACGTGTCCCATGGGACGGCCCACATGGGCTCCCAATGGTGTTAAGACCTGAGAGTTAACGTTCCTGATGAAGATCAGTGCTCCAACTTTGAGGTTGAGTTTGTGCGGTGGCGTGTCGGGGACGTTGGTACTATAAAGGTCTTCGACGGAAACACCTGGCATGTTTTCGTCGTCCTTCATGATCTTGTCGGAACCAAGTTGTTCTTGAACATTTTCTAGTATTTTACGAAGGACAAAGTCATTGATCTGGTGCTAGAATGGAATGAATGGTCGTTGTAGATGTTGTGGTTGGCTTCTAAGAGGTCGGGATAGAACTTTCAATGAGGTGTTCAAGTTCCCTTTATCCGGCGATTAAACGTACAGTTTCGGAACCATCGTGCTTTTCTGACTGTCTGTGCGTTGCGATGGAATAGCGGCGGTACCATCGCTATATAACAATTGGTGGTTCAATTTTACCCTCTCCAACAGCTTAGACAGTTTTCGCGTAAGGGATGTCATCTTTGTCTCTTGCACTTGGTAAGGCGGAAGCGATGAACATGTGACCAAAAGCCTGACGACAGGAAAGCATATTCTACGATTTCACACTCAGTTCCGAACGGTACAACGGGAGCAACTTGCCGATCCCCGCTGAAAAGAATAATTGTCCCTCCGAAGGGCAAATCATTCTGACATAGTGTAGGTCCTGAAGAGTGGAGTTAAGTGCTTCTGGGGCAAAATTCGAATACACCACAATTTCATCCCAAATAAGGAATGACGATATTTTTCAGGACGTCGACATCTTCGGACTCAGCTGGGACGTTGCAAACGCTGCCTTCGATGGCATCGTCTCCGAAGGGGAGTTTAAATGTACTGCGGGTCGTAAGATGGCCAGGGCAGGTAGGATAAGGGCAGCTATTCCTGTTGATGTGGCGCACAGAACGAGTTTTGCACGGGCGCGCAGGTGGGCTGCAACTAATTGCGCATTCTGTGATAACAGCATGTTGGTGAAATTGAGAGCGAAGCATCTGATTGAGAGCGAGATTGCGCGATGCGCTGCAGCTGGACTACTGCTGAGAGGTGGAGCTTGCTGTGTAGCTTGAATTGAAGGGCCAGCCCGTAGCTACAAGCAGATACCCTGATCATCCTGTGGGAGTCTCTCGATGTGGAGTTACAGCGGCAAGCAGAAGCTACAGCAGAGCCCACCGCCCGAGGCCAAACCGCCCTGCAACAGTTTGAGGCAGGAATAGCCAATGTGGGGAAATCTAGCAACTTGTCTAGCTCCTAGCTGCAGCATCCGATGACGATGACACGCATATGCTCGTGACGCTGCTGATGAGACCATTAATTTGCGCCGCATCTTGGAAGAGCCCGCCCCCAATTTCCCAAGAAATGGCAACAGGCGTCTGGACCCGAACTTCAGATTTTTTTGGCTCTTGCTCTCAATTTCATGCTTCGCTCTCAATTTCACCAATATGTTGTTGAATGTCATCCCTTCCCCGACGGAGCATCAACCATGCATATACCAACTTTCTTTGTGTTGGCACTGACTGGTCGTGACTGTGTCCAATATGTTTCGTTGTCCTCGAGTTACTTATGATGTCATTTGAGCACAAAATTCTTCTTGTTCTGATGATGTGGAAAATGCACCGACAAGACGGTCGAGTTCGGTGCTGCCATGTTTTACATTTGACCCTTATGTGACTGGGTTTTCCCCGGATCGTTCGAGTTTTTTTTTTCTCAACGGGGCGAAGAGACCGCTGACATCATCAAGGCTGCTGTGGAGCACACATATTTCAACCACCGTCTCCCGTTCTCTACACACCTACCTACTGGTACCTCCCACATGCACTCGAGTACACATGGTCGCATCCACACCCCACTCCCTTGCTCACACAAACCTTTGGTATATCACACACAGCAGACCAACACACATCAGGGCTCTCATCGGTGACTGCTGTACGTGATGGGCGTGAACTGAGGGGCTCGATCGAAAGAGGCAGACGCATTGTCTTCATCCCTCACCCCTGCTGCTGTTAACTGAACATGGGTATCCACATGGCATAGGTCTAGTAACATCACTGCTGTCCGCCCGCGGCCGAGGCAGCACACCCCGCCCGCGAGGCATGGTACCTCCTAACGTTCTACTTTCAGTGTTCCTTCGTTGGGAGCGACGAGACATGTCCACGCACGAACAAATGTGACATCGGGAAAAATCCGAAAAAACATCCAACCGTCGGCAGCACACCAGCAGCAGAAGCAGCAGCAGTAGCAGTAGCAGCAGGCCTCGTGGTGTGACATTCGGTTGAAAAGAGAAGCCGAGACGCACACACACGTAGAGGGGACCCGTCGAGAGGCATTGCAAGGCGGACCCTTACTCCTGTGCGCCAGCGATAACTTGGGCACAACCAACTGCTGTGTGTACGAATCGCAAAATAACAAAATATCGTGTGGAGAACACCTTCATAAAGAAAGGTTGAAACTCCAAAAGACACGGGTTCAAAACCCGCTGCTCACCTAATTTCTTTCCGGAGTACGGAAAAAAGGAAAAAGGCTGGGTGGGCCAAGAAATGATGCACTGCTGTCTATCGTGGCGGAAGTGGTTCACCCGCACACACGCACAGAAGATTGTTGGAATAAAGGTGGTTCTACTCGCCGCCAGCCGGTCGGGTTCCGGTTACCCCAAGAAAACTTCTCTTGCCTAGCAAACAAGAAGCCTCGAAAAAGGGGGGGATAATGTGGAGAACACTTTCTTCATAAAGGGTGAAACTCCCCAACGTCTGTCGAGGACGAAACCCTCTTTTCCACAATCGGGTCAAATAGAATAAAATCGTGCAAAATTATCGATTTCTACACGACGGTTGGAGCTGGACGATCGGAGCTGTGATCGGAGCTGCAGCCCCGAACAACCTTGCTATTGTGAGCGAAAAGTGGCCGGGGACGATAGTCTCCTTGCCGCTCCTACCTCTCTACCTTTAGGCACAACAGCAGCAGCAGCATAAGGAGTAACCCGATCACTACCATCACCATCATGGACCCAGAGGAAGTTGCTCAGTTTTGGCAGCAGATAGCAGACCAATGGCATCCCGAGACAGCTCCACGTGTTGTCTGGGATGAGCTGCTGGCGATCGCAAACTCCACGCCAGACCAACTTCCCGACGCCATGGCTGCTGCAGCCCGGGCGGTAGGACAGCGCTACTGTCAACACAGGGCAGCAGAGCCTCAGCCCCTACCCGCGATCAACAACCTTGCGGAAAGGAAGACCGCGGCGCAGCAGCACCCCGGTCTCTACTGGTACCATCACTCTCGCTGTATCGGGGCGGTCGACTTTGCCAAGGCCGCCGAGAGGAGCTCGGGAGGCGCGGTCACGACGAAGCGTCTACGGAATCAAGTGAGTCGCGAGAGTACCACCCATGATGAGCANGACTTTGCCAAGGCAGCCGAGAGGAGCTCGGGAGGCGCGGTCACATCGAAGCGTCTACGGAATCAAGTGAGTCGCGAAAGTACCACCCACGATGAGTGTATGTTGCCTGAAGCTGGCTGTCTGGCTCTAGCCCCAACACGTATGCATAGCAGGAGCATGTCTTTCATGTGAGGATTCTGTACACATCGGAATAGTCTGGTGCATGTAGCTCATGTCTTCGAGCGCTCCAACATGTAGACATGTACATTTTCTGATATAACGGATATGACACAAGATAAGACACCCCCTTGACCGATTTTCATAGCTCGATTTCTCGACTGCAGGAACAGTCGCAGCGCCGAAAACGGCGGCGTTGAAACAGTCTCGTCGACAGCTTTTCGAAAATAAATGTATCGTTTCGTTTGTGCATCCTCTTCGTCGTGGAGTAATCGAGCTTTGAAAATCGGTCCAGGGGGTGTGTTATCTTGTGTCATATACGGTAGTCTACGCATATCCATATCCATTCCATACTTGTACGTCTCTTTTCTACGTAGCATATCTCCTCATCTTGCTACAAGAGGAAGCAACATTTGCTGTAGGTACAGCAGTACATGCTCGAAATCAACACATGCTGCATGTTGTGACGGTTGCAGGCGTGCCCATGGCCGCTGCTGTAGGATGCAAGGACGGCGATACACATGTGTGCCTTGAGCAGTGCTTCATTTGTCTAGACTGGGTAAATGTAGACTAAGTCACTTTCGAACTTCAACGAAAACGCGGTATGTCGTGGATCAACGCAGCTGCGCGAGCGAAGTCATGGCCACACGAAGTGAAAAGGAGAGAGGGATGAGCGACGTCGGCGAGTCTACCCCCAACCCTACCAGAATGCTCCGGCAATGCTGTCGAAACACATGTACATATGGTGCCCAACACGTCGATACCCCGGGGCATGCCGAGAGATAGCGTGGTATCTTCCGTATCATGGAACGGGGAGAGTACGTCGCAGTCATGGAACGGGGAGTAACGCCGTTGTCGAGGGACCGAAAATATCCTTCATGTAGTCCGAAAGGAACGTCCACATTGGGTGTACGCGTCCGTCTCTCACAGGCTATCGATGCTGTCGTTCGTTAGCTCTCCGTTTCCCCCCAAAGAACTGGAGTACACTCTGTAACCGACAACCCGACTCCCATGTTTTTCCCGTCCACAACGTGCAGGCTTCGTTCGACACGAGCATTCAGATGAATGCAAGGGGTCGTGTGTGCAGATCACGAGGAGTGACTGCTTCACGCAGGCGTGCCGCGCGGTGTGGCCGGGCGATGAACCCGTGCCAGCGGCCATTTCGGACGCCGTTCTGTCGTGGTATTTGAGGGTGTATGATGTGAGCTTATTTCAGCGGAAAAAAATTATGAAAAAGATTACCTGAATTTAAGACTCGCAGCCGATAAAGCTATTGTTTCTGAGCGTATTTGAATGAATGCTGCGTTCGAGCCGGAAAATAATAATACGTTCTGAACTTATAGAAAAATCTGAGACAAGATCTAATAAAATTTTAAAAAGCTATACCACTGCTGTTATCAGCCACACAAGTAAACGACGAAGGCACAATAACCATCACTCGTCCACCGTTGTATTCAAGAAAACACAATGGACGATAAAGGCACAATAAATCCCTCGCGGAAGGGAAGATGGTTGATGAACGACACTACCATGCACTTGTAGGATCAGTTTGACCCCCAGGCAAATCACAACGGAGCACCCTCGAAACACATCCGCGTCTCCTCCGCCAGGAACACATGTCACATTCAACGTAAAACGTTAGGCCAAAAAAATATGCGCTCACGACCACCAGACGAGATCCTTGCGTCCCACCACCCCGTACTTCTGGGGGTTCCGTTGAGCATCTCCAGCCCTAGCGTGCCTCACAGGGTTTTTGAAGCATGCCTGACACATCAAGACACCCCGGTCCCCTGCCTGTTTGCCAACACAAAGCTCCGCGCAGGCACATCCTTTCGATGTCTTACTCTTGCATCCGGGGTGCATGCATTTGCGTTGAGTCTTCACCGAAATGCTCCCCCACACTTTGTCCGGGGCACCCGTCACCGCCGCCGGTCTCCCCCCCTTGTTCGGTCTACCAACATTGCACCTCGCCATGAGCTCCGTCGACAACATTTCGTCCCAGACCGCCCTCTCCATCTTGGCCAACCTGCCCAGTTCGACCAACACCCTATCCAACTTCTCCACCACCTCAAGCTCTAGGCCTCCTCCCTTGATCCTCTTGTTGGCCTCATCCTCCAAGAGGGACACGTACTTTTTGAACATCACAAAAATGTTGGTGAACGTCTGCTCAAACTTGCCCTCCATCACTCGTCGCCAGTGGTTCGTGTACGACTTGTGGTCATGGGTGTGGGACCCATTCTGCTGGTCAGCCGTGTCTACTCCCCCCATGTTGGCAACATAATCCTTGCGCATCCACGGCTGCTGTAGCTCCAAGCCTTTCCCAGCCTGACCAGCTTTGCGCAGACTGAACATGAACGGATGGGGACGGGATGGTAGGGGACAGACGAAGCACCTGGGTTAGGCAACACACTTTCCACAGCAGGAACCACGCACTGGAAAGGGGGCGTCAGGCCCTATCAATAAAACAATACACAAGCCCCGAGTACCTTCCCGACCGGTGGAAGCAACGTGTGTGATGAACCGAATAAGAAAGGCACCAACGCGAATCGCTTCATGTTGTCAAGCACGAAACCGAGGACTCCATCACACGACGAACCAGTTTACCGACGGCTACACGAGCGAAACACAAGACACAGCGATCGACATGAATCTAGGGAACAACGAAAATGAAAGGTTACCTGTACGGTAGAGGTGCGAAGTGGTCATCGCCGCCGTCGCTGTCCTCCTTCTTGGGCTCCCCGATGGCGGCGTGAGGTTGGGCGATGTGGATGGAGCTGCACAGAATGATTTCCTTCGAGTCTAGCCACTGCACGAATGCGACATTGCCGGCGCGGGCAAAGTGCATCTCTCCCCTTTCGACGGGGCGGCGATCGAGGCTCTGCAAGTAAGGCACGGCACCACCCGTTCGGTTTGACCGGCACGTACCCACCGCGAAGATGTCGTGGCTCGCGAGACACTCGAATAGGGTCGGGCTTGTGAAGTAGTTGTCCATTGCGATGTACACGCCAGAGCCGTCGATCTTGTCACCGAACTTCTTGCAGGCGCCGAGTAGGACATGTAGGACGTGGCGAGTGGTCCGCCCCAGTGGGCAGTCGAACCAAACCCTCAGCTTCGGGTCCCCGTTCATTCCACCGTCTACGCTGCTGACGAAACAATACCCCTCGATGTCGCAGATCGCGAACAGCTTCATGCCTGGGTTTTCAACAACATGAGCAGAGAAGGACGATGGAACAAATTGTCAAGGCGGCGCGCCAACAGCTCACGCGTGGATTGAGCGTTTGCACTCAATGAGACGATGCAAGCTCGAAAGACTTTCGGACAGGTATCGACGAGACGGTTCCAGTGTCCCCCCTGTTGGGCAACGCAATTGCTTTCGCAGTGGAACAAACCGGCGTTGAAAATCGGCCCAACGGGCGTGACATGTCATGTAACCTACGGATTATCACCACACGCACGCAACGAGGGCATCGTGGGTGGCCCAGTTACAGGCATCATGGGCGGCCTTGAGTTCCCCGGCGAATATTGTGTTGTGATATCAACCCCCCCCCTCCAGGAAAACAAGCAGATGCAGAGGTCGTACTTGAGACCTATGCATCCCCGAGGGGATGCCGCAATGTTCCGCTAAAAATGGCATCACTGGGACGGAACATGCAATCTGAATGCCACTGAATGGACACGTTGCGAGTGTGGACGATGGAGTGCGAGCTTTACTGCTGAGCGTGTGTATGTGTCGTTTCGTCATTGGTGAACACCACTACCATTCATCCCTCCCCAGATAATTTGGAGTTACCAAGTATTTGTTATACATTGTCCACGCAAGGTGGGCGGGATCAACTAAAAAAGCACAATTCCCACTACATGAGGTTCTTCAAAACCGAACATGATACAAGGTCTCGACACTGTTCCGAGTGGTTTGTACCCTGTTTTTGTTTTGTTTCCTCGCGGGGTCGCATATGCCGGGTTTTTGCGACCACGGGCTCCCCATTTTGGTGGACTATAGAGCAAATGTGAGAAACAACAACAACAACAACAACAACAACAAACTATAACCAACTATCCACCGAGTCCTCCCAACGGATGTCCGGCACCAAAACAGGATCAGACTCGCTAGGAATAGCCTATACGACACCATACACGAAACCCGTACCGTGGGTGATGGGCTTCTTGTGTCTCATGAGGTAGTGCGCGAACGTCGACACGGTCTTCACCATCTGCTCATCGTAGCACAGCCACTGGTTGAAGCCCATGTTTTCCGTCCATGCGTTGTTCAAGATGTCTTCCAGCTCTCTGCCGGTGAAGCGAAGTCAAGAAATGAAAGACAGAAATTTGCAGGGAGGTCTTGCGTTAGTTACAATGGTGTGAAAAATGTGTGGGACATCAATGGACATGCGAACGCACACCCAGTGATTTACACACTAACCACGCGAAACGTTGCGATGATAGTCCCAACCGTACGATGGTGCCAGCCTCCAGTATTCGACGCCGGGAGCGGATGGCGGAGGACAATGATATCTACTTTTTGTTGCACGACATGCTGAACCCTTTTGGGTCTGGGAGCTACGTAACTCGCCGGTCTGCCAGTCCCTGGTTCCGTTTCGACATTTTGTTTTTCACCACACAAAAGTCAAAGGGGGGAGAGAGTGCGGGAGAGAGGGAGAAGTGCAGGAATAAAGGCAAGTGTACTTTTGTAGACGCCACAAGTACCTCCACCTATTCGCTACTAGGGCAGCCCGCGACAGGGCCGTGGCATCTCGTAGGGTCACCCAAGGGTTCTTGCGTCGCGGCGCGGCTGGCCTCCAACTCTCTTTTCAGTATTTCTAACCCTAAGCCCCAACCCATAAACTTGACTTTTGTACTTCTCTGTCACCCGCGAGTGAAAACTCGCCGACTCCATTAACACACTACCACAGCTCGAAAAACTTGCCAATATTCCAAGTGGAGAGAATCAAATTACAGTCAGAAGGCCTGAAGTCCAACGAGGATTTGAACAAACCTGACGTGCCACTTCGAATCGAACTCTGGGTTCTNCCGCCTTCTTACGCCTCGCCTTCTCCTCGTCGGCGATCTTCTTGAGCTGTGTTGAATACGTCATTGACAAACAGCGTCGACAGCGGATTCAACGCGGTCGGTGTGTCAATTTACCCCCGGAGTGTTGTGTCCAATGTGCAAAAAAAGGATGACGCACGACACTACGGTGTCACCAACACCGACGAAACCATAGAGCGAGGGGTAATAACATAGGCCGGCAGGGCGGGCGGGTCACGCACGTGCATTTATATTCTCCCTCTGAACTCAACGTTCGTCGCCCGCTGCTAACAATGTAAACCACACGCGTGCTGAACAACAGCAGCCTGGTACAGAGGCGTCAACCTCAACAATGTTTATGATCATGCACGCAACCGGGGAGGTGTCGATTAACCAACGCGTAAAGATACTATTTCTTCGAGGCAAGCGACAACACGAGCCGAACGGAAGTGCATACCTTGATCCGCGTTTGTTCATTGTGGATAGGGTACTCGCCATATGGTATCCCAAGCGAAAAAAAAAAAAACTGTGGAAGTAGTATTTAGCGATGCGCACTCATTTTTTT